AAAGTGCGGCAATTCCTTGATGTACGCGAGTCTATCGCATTTTACCGAGTATCGAGACATTTGAACGTTGTTTTTATCGTACCAGACAAGTTCACAGCTAGTTGGCAGACTGTGACAGAAGGTAGCATAGTGCGTTAGAGGCACAACTCTATCTGCCTCACTCTGTGCAGAACATACTACAAGGCGTGGAAGTGAGGGAAAGTTGGCAACAACTTCCGTTTGGAAGACTGAAACGAGTTATTGGGTCGCTTCAAACAATTCTTCTCAAGTAAGTCAGTGGTTGGTCGGGCACTACTTCCTTGCTTGCTCCGCTAAGCGGATCTCATGCTAATCTATTTCTGTAAATCCGTAATGCGATCCTTTTTTCTTATTTTCTTTGAGCGAGCAGCTTTGGGGTGAATACCTTGAAGGAATCCTTCGCGGAAAATTCTTGCATTCTTTCCCAACATGATATGTCAGTTGTGATCACTAGAGACAACATACAAAGTTTCACGCACAAGATTCAGTTTCCGAAGAGAAACAAACACACTATGGACAATCGAAGGTAAGTGGCGCGGAGCCAAAGGCGGGGCATGGAAAGAAGTCCGCCTTGGGGCGGCTACGTATCAGGCGACGCAATGAAAGAATCGGGTTAAAGCGTGCGATTTTGTAGAGACAAATCGATCGATAGAATAGGATGCAGTAGAAGTGTGAGATGTTAATGCAATAAGTCAAAAGGCCAGAAAGAGTTTCTAGTGACGGCACTCCAGAACCAAGTGGAAGCATTCCCGTCGCCAGCATTTGTGACAGATGTCCGGCGGTACTTTGAACGCGTAGCAGCCCTTTCGGTTTTTCGAATTTTTTACCAAAACAAATGCAATTTTTTTGTTCTTTTCGTTCTTATCGTGAACGATGGGTCCCAAGCCAGTGAATTATGGGTGAGATAGAATCACGATTTTTCCAAAAAGAATTCTTCAAGACTGTTTCATAGGAGAGGCGAGCGCACAACGTTCTCCTACCGATGAGTGCAATTGGGCAAGCCAGTAGTAAGCAATGATTAGCCAATGGTGTAAAAATGCTTTCCACGGATCAAGGATAATTCATTCAAGGTTGATCATGTTGAGCTTGTAATGCGCCACGCATTCTGCTTCCATTGAGAAATGATGTGGCATCCAAATATGCGGTTGGTTTCCTGTGTGAGTCAGCCCATGCTGAGATTCCAGAAAAGAGTGGAGAACGCGCAATGCAGATGGCAGCTGACAGCCACACAACCAGGCGTCGACCAATAAGGTCATCGGGTGGGCGTGTCGACTCCGCCCCTTGACAGCACCGTAATTTACTCATAGACTGTCGTCATACGGCATGAGCACGCCTTCGCCAGGCCTCAAATCGGTAAGCATTCAACTTTCTAGACTTCTTGACAATGAATATTTGAGCCACAGCAAAACCACTTTATCGATCAAAAAGTATTAGAAAATTTATTTTCTCTGCTTATATCAATGTCGTCTCGTGAGTCCAAGCCTACCCACATATACGAAATCCTTCGCTTGACAACTGAAGGTTGTAAGAGTTGCTGTACTCCGATACTTTTCACAAAAATTACTAGGGGGAATATCATTGGTGAATTTCCTTCTGTGACAGGCCTTTACTGTTGTCTCTTGACTTTATTTTGTTTAGAATTTATCTATACTGTCATTCTGTTTGAAGCAAATAACCTCTTACAAGGGAGGTCGTTCAGGGTGTGCCAAGCTTTTTCAAAATGGTTTCTTGCATGACATTGGGGCACATATGGGGACCACAGAAGCATGGTTCATTTTTCCTGAACGGCCCTCTGAATACCAGAAAAGGGGTCCCTAGTTCGATTCCTCGTGGTGACAAGTTTTTGCATTTCGTGTTGACGTTTCCAAATTCGCGCAAAATGGAGTTAGCATGAATAATTAGTACCAAATTCATGATTAGGAACGTCAGTAACCCTTACAAATAGACTTTGATTGAAAAACTGGTGAAAAAGATTGTGACGTAGGGACCCGCCCTTTTTGATACTTCAAGTGCCAGGCAACATTAACATGTTCGTGGTTTGCCTGGCATGTGCCTCCTAAAATACCTGTTTGAAAAAAGCTTGGCACCTTACGTGCTTCGAAAGACTCCTTACCTGTTCAGGTCTTTCATTTTTTCTTTTTTCTTCTGACTGTTTTAAAATGATATCGGTCTACTGCGTATGCTATTTACTTTTCCACCTGTTACACTAAGCGTTGAGTCAGCAAATAAATAACACCACTAATCAGATCACGACCACGGTTCCTTACGATTGTGTAAGTTGAAAAAGGGATTGTTTGTAAGAAAATCAGCCTCGTACGATCCTCAGATCCTTATCAATTTCAGCGTGCTCTGCTCAGCGATGAGGATTTGGAGCCGTACGTTCGAAAACAGCGCTCTGACTCGACAGAGTGCCCAAGCGCTCCGTAGACTACTTCGTGGATTAAAGAGTAAGGTGGGATGCAAAGGTGCAACATTTTCCCTTTTAAGACTCATTCAGAGCCAGTTGTCCTTTTTGTAAGCGTCTTACGAGAAAGAAATATTTTGTTTTTGTATTGTTTCTTAGCAAAGATTTGTAGGAAGCAAATTGACCTAGTAATCACCTCAGCTCTCAAATTAAAGATGAAAAAAATACAGTCATGCTACAGACAGAGATGAGCTGAACATAGTGGATCCCGAGGCGGAAAGCAAACCCCGCCTTTGCGAGTGCCGTGTGATTTTGGGTGTGGTGGCGCGTTTATCGGTCTGTATCAGTTACCACAATCACTTTGTTTGGGACACATTCACTATCACCTATCTAAACGCGGGTTTGACTTCAAGGAACCTGTGAATAAGCCGTCGGCAAATTGCGAAAGCGGCCTGACATTATCGCATATTCAGTAGGGTCTCAAACTCAAGGTTTATTTTCTATTACACTTTTGTGCTTCGATAGACGTTGGTTGAAATATTCCTAATGGCCTAAGGATGACTGCGAACCTGACAATATATGGCTCATCTGTGCAGATAACACTCGAAAGTGTTTTCTTTCTCCCCTAACAGTGTGACCACCTGTCATCAAGGAAAAGAACACGATTACCGTCTTTTGGCAGTCGATCGAGTCATCTCAATTCATTCCTATCTCCAATTTTTCCTCCAACTGTACTGATCCTCAGGCCAACGTTGATCCAACACCAAACTTCTAAATAGAACCTTGTGCGATATTTTTGTTTGACTTGCCCCATTCAAATATTCCGCAATAAGCTTGTCGAAAAATTCTCTTGAACGCCTTTGATGAAGAAAACGCCTTGTCTGTGTGTCTATTCCTAAATACCTTCACTCACAACAAGCTACTCAAAAAAAAACTACCTACTTAAAATGAAGTTTACTTCATGCCGTCTTCGTTCCACGGTCTATCTTTGATTTTTCGAACGCGAATTTTTGGTCCCCCCCCTTTCAAGATTTCTTGGCAGCGCATTGATCAGCCGAAATCTATCTCTCTTCTGTGCCTGTGTTATAGTCGACGGATTTGTGGGACTCTCTAACGCGTTCATCTTCGCTTTTTACTTCGTTTTTTTTCTATGAATAAGATGCAATTTTTTTTAAGATACATATGCGAGAACAATTTACAATTGCAAGATTCCATTTTAAAAGCCCGGGAGAAAAATAGCCTTTCTGTTCCAATTCCCCGGCACCATTATGTGTTCAGTCTCTTTTTGCAATGAAATCATGAGCCTCAAACTGATGTTTAACCAGGAGTAGGCTTCAGGCAGCTCTACACCAAGAAAATCTGATCACCAATTTATTCAAGACATAATTACACACATGTTTCCGGCGAGGGGTTGGAAACCTACTGCTGAAGATTGGCGGAGAACGCGAAAGTTGCTTGACGATACGCCCCAGGACAGAAAAGATTTTCCATACACCTTTTGTCGCATGATGCAGCATTGTTGAAACTGGCGCCGTAATGGTGCAAGTGCAATAATCCCTCACCTGTCATAATGTTCCTATCAGCGACACTTTTGTTTTCTTCGCTTTATAGTCGCTGTGAAACAGTATAACTTGAGTTTCCACGAAACTGCGAAGACATATGAAAGGAATTTAAGACCTAAAATAGATCATCCTCTTATTACAGATATCGCTTTTTACTAGCGGATTTTTTGCGAGTGAATAATTCCTCAATTATAGCGAGCAAACATCTTACGGACTTCGATAAACTCCAGGGAGAGGAAACGAATGCACGATTTGAACGAAGCCCCTGGAAGAACTTCGTAGTTGTCTACCGTACTCTCAGGACCAGTCTGCACGGAAAATGAGCAAAATCAATACTTTGCTACTGGCATGCAACTGGTAAGAATTTGATTAGAGTTATAAATTAGCCATTGGTTTTGCGCTTTTTTCAAACTTGCTCTATGAAGAAGAACGGGATGGGAAGATATTGGGGGCATCTCCTAGGGCTAGCTTAGAAGGGGCAGGAACTTTGGTGGGGGGAATCAAAATTGCTCACTTACCCTGGAGTCTCTCTTCCTTCGCCTAAGGCTTTCTCCCGTTTTTTACTCCAATTTTTAACCACAAGGAGATGTTTTATGTATGCATTGCCACCAGAATGCCCCTTATGTTGCGATAGCGCTGGAAAATGTTTTCAAGGTTGCAATGTTGCTGGGTAAATTTGTAGGTCCCTACTTTTTTTGTGAAGGGCAAAGGTGATCCGGGACGTTTCAGCAAGTCCCTAAAATCCACTGTGTTACGGTACTTTCAGGATTCGGCAGCTGACGATCCGAAATCACGAGCTGCAGAAGCAGGTGGCAGCGTTGCGAGCTGAGGACCGTATCTCTGTGCCTATCGGACCCCCACCGCCATCATCTCAACCAACCAACGCGTTTACCATGACACCTGGACCTATCAGTTTCGCGTTAGGACCAACCCCGTGCATGAAAGCGTTCGGGCAAGCTTGTTTTTGTATCGGTTGTTTAACAATGGGATCAAAGCAGTAACTGAACGAAAGAGAATTATTTTCGATCAAATCACGTCATTTTCTTGCATCCCGTTAGTAGCTGATTTCCCACAATGTGTTTTTCTCACATCTCATTTCGTTTCATGTTTTGTGCTACCGTAACCCTACAGTATTCCTCATGCGTGCTAATTGAACGACTACGAGTATCATGGCGAGGCTTTGATGTGGAGACGCGCTCACACACATGTGTCGTTGACCTCTAAAACTGTCCAAATGTGCCTGTTTCCAGTCGCTATCTTCATTATCGATTGATTCATTGATTTATTGATTGTGCTTATTGTATCTTGAAGTGTATACAGATTATAACTGATGGTTTGGTACTGTCCTTCTGTTGAATCTGATCACTAGACGGCGTGGGCTGAGCCGCAACGTGCCGGAGTTCTTTGCGACACCCGACACGTTCTCATTCGCACCCTCATTATCAGATGAGATATGGTCCGATATCCCGTCGTGCCCGCCGGTCGTCGCATTAATTTTTATGGTCCCTTTTGGCCGGTTACAATTTCTTTCGCAATTCAATAGCGCCGTCAATGACCTCGCAACGATTCGGCCGCTGAAGACGGCTGGCTGTCATCTGGATTCTGTAGAGAATCGATCATTATGAAAAATACGCAGGTTGCGCCATGCATATCTAATTCTATTGGTCATTCACCGATCTTGACTCCTAGCGCTCATCTGCGAGTTTCGACGAATATCCGGAAGGAAGTTCTAGGGATTTCAGGGAGTTGGTAGGCTGGTGAAATGAGCACAGCGAAAGGAAAACCAGTAAGGGTAGCGGAAAATGGAGAAGCAGAGGATTTGGGAAAAGTATTGTGTCAACACTTCAACAGGAAGAAATGCCTAGACAATGACGGCGTGTATTCCTGGCAGCTAAGCAAGCCCAAATGAGGCGAGAGGCCTTGGAGCTTTGTTTGAAGTTCAACCAATGTGATAGATCGATACATGTTTGTAGGCACCGAGGTTTTGCCTTTTTAGTAACTTTGATCCTTCGTACCAGCACCTCCACGAAGTTCAGAAACGGCCTCAGTCAAGCCTTAGCAAGGGCTTACACCCCTTCATCACTTTATGTGTATTCATTTCCTTCGCAACTTTGAGTTGAGACTGAATTTGAGTGCGAAAGAATTACTCGAGACTCTGGAGCTTCTTTGGATCTTGAGTTCCAAGTCCTTTATTCCTTAACCCTTTCGGCCCTGGCGGTGGCAATTGCCACCATCAAATTCAAACGCTTGCATTGCCGCTGAAACAGCATGGTTTTTCTAATCCTGCTAGAGGTTGCTTCAGTCAACCTTCCCCTTCCTAATTATGAGCTAAACCTGCCATTTCATTGTGTGTTGCTGTTAGTATTACAAGTATTTGTGTACAAGTGCAACAATGAATCGGCGCTGGTCCCCGCAACCGGCCAAGTAAGTGTCACTTTTTCTTAAAATACTTGAAGTAGATCCATTCTTAAATCAAAATTATGGGTTATAATGTTGTGCAAGATTATAAACTTTTTCGGCATAACTATGAAATTTGGAATTGTTTCGACATAAGCTTAAAAACTAAGAAGGTGGGCCAATTTTCAAAGCTTCTAGTTTCTTTGTTTAATTTAATACTTCCACTTTCGCCATTTGATAATTCTAATTTTTTTCTCCGAACGTACACCTCTGTTATCTATGAACCATTGGCTATTAATAGAAATTCAGTCGTCATTTTTTCTCAAGAATTCCAGAAGCTATTGATCAAAGAATGATCGAAAGTCGGGTTTAAGGTCATGTCATTTAGCGTAAAATTTCTTTTCTGAAGAAGAGTAATATAACTTAGACTAGACTGTCTTTAGGTGATACGAGGATAGGGCTACACGGTGGAGCTGGAACAACTGCTAGCCTGAAGGTCTCCAATTCTTTATGAACATTTTCCGAAAGGTGGGGTCGAATGACCTCGGATCAAAACCACACTTTGTCTTGCTTTACCTTCAGATGGAACGCGTCGCCATTATGCTGTCGACCTTTGCCTTATTCATTGGCCCTAGTAGTAGTGGGCAGCGCTTCCCAGCGCAAGGTCTCTTTCGTGCTCCACCAACATCTCAGAAGTGTCGGACATACAGGTCCGACAGAGAAGCTTAGGCTATTGCTGTCAGCACTCCCGAATCTTTTAAGCTAGACTTCTGCTACTTGTGGATTTGCTAGTACAATTCACCCACTTCACAACACTGGTGAATTCGCATGATGATTGTTGAAAGGAATTCTGGGAAATTAGAGGGAACATGGCGATTCCATATCGTGTCTGGGGAAAGGTTTCAAAAAAATTGAAGTTTCAGCCTCGGAAGGGCAACATTGAATGGGCTGACTAATTGCTCAGGTAAGACATTGTGGGTACTACATGGCAAAACATGTTTCGCGCCTTCAAGATTTTTCTTCGAATTTATGGCAATAAATGTAAAGTGAGTCACTAATTATGGGACAACCTAATAATTTTGTTAGTTTGGTGTCGAATAACTTCCAAATTTCCACACAATGGTACTAATAAAACAATAGCTAGAAGAAGAAATTCTCTACGGAAAAAATTAGGTCCGAAAGGGTTAAATTTTCAAAGAGCTGCACACACACTTTTGACTCATGGTTGATTCATATCGTGATGATCAATTTTTAGAGCTGTATTTGAGTTCTGTAAGAATAGACAGGAGCGGGATTCCACTCAAAACTGCGGGCTTTTCCTGAGCAGCTTCTTAGAGATACGCACCCGCGCACCTAATGATCATGTCAGAAATTTGATTTCGAATCAATTCTTCGCCCTTTCAGAGTAGCGCAGGTGAATTGTGAAAGGGTCCTGCAAAATTTTCACAGTTGCTAGCCACAGCAACCTGCTAAGCGTCTTAATTGGCACCGGAGGTTCTGGCGTAGTTTATAAAGATGAATTTCTGTCGATCAGATTTTTTGTGGATATGGTAGACTTCATGTTAGAATAACCTCCAACATCTGTAATTGCTCTTCACTTTTTAGTTGTTCAGAATTGCCCAAATTCGGGTTCCCTTCTGGTTTTGAATGGCACTGTGTCACTCTGTTACAGGAACACTTCATTTCGTATCATGTGCAAGCAAGCCCCGCCCCACAAACTCCGCCCCAGTGAGGAGAATACTCGAAAACGACGATTTTTCACGCATTTTTGCTCACTGACATACGTACTATACGTACGCACATCTTCAGACACAATGGTACTAATAAACAATAGCTAGAAGAAGAAACTCTCTACGGAAAAAATTAAGGTCCGAAAGGGTTAAATTTTCAAAGAGCTGCACACACTTTTTGACTCATGGTTGATTCATATCGTGATGATCAATTTTTAGAGCCGTATTAGAATTCTGTAAAATAGACAGGAGCGGGATTCCATTCAAAACTGCGAGTTTTTCCTGGGAGGCAGCTTTTAGAGAGAGTATATCAGACACACCCGCTCACCTAAGTAATCATATCAGAATTATTTCGACACAAATTCCGGTGTGCTCGTATCATGAAATAGAGGGCAGGGTGTGCTGGAAGGGTCCTGCAAAATTTTCACAGTTCCTAGTACCACAGAACCTTCTAAGCGTCTTAATGGCATTTCCCCAAGCGATTTCTGGCGTAGTTTATAAATGAATTTTCACTCACAGAGGAGCGAATTTGTCGTATAACTTCGTATAAAATGGGGTTCGTTAACTGAAATTATGCCAGCACAAATCCAAAATCGGTAAATTAGTGTGTAATTTTATCTTGATCCACTTTTTTATGGTAGACTTCATGTTAGAATAACCTCCAACATCTGTAATTGCTCTTCACTTTTTAGTTGTTCAGAATTGCCCAAATTCGGGTTCCCTTCTGGTTTTGAATGCAGTGTCATCTGTTACAGGAACACTCATTTTCGTATCATGTGCAAGCAAGCCCCGCCCCACAAACTCCGCCCCAGTGAGGAGAATACTCGAAAACGACGATTTTTCACGCTTTTTGCTCACTGACATACGTACTATACGTACGCACATCTTCAGACACTCACAAGCATACGGAGAAACCACGCCCACGCACGGACTCCGCCCAAGCGCGGACTCCGCCTTCATTTGCGTGTATTAGAGAAAGTCATTGGTAATTTTGCCAAACAATCCGAGTGCGAAAGTCCACTGTTGTTTGAAATGTGATTCTATTGCCGGAGTCCTGCATTGTTTAGGTAAGGGTAGGTCATTTGTTTGGGCCATGATCAGTACAAACTGGCGTTTGTGGAAATAAGGCTCATTCATGAGAATTCGCGCGGAATTGGCTTCCACTGGGAAGAAAAGAGGCCTCAGTGCTAACCGACACCTGCTGGTCATCGAGCGGATTACGGCGCGTGCGAACAGTGGGATAAGCTCTCGACGCCAACAAGGACACACTCGGAACAGCCTCAAAGTCAACAACCATTTAACCAATGAATCAATAGTCACATTCACTAGAAGAACAACAGAGCAGTAAGCAGTACTATTTCTGGTGTGATGGACCTTCTGCCTACAAAAGACGAGGTCCGAATGATGAGGATTTCAGCAGAATTCAAAAATCGTACACAAATCGTACACAAGAAATCGAAATATTGGAGCGATTTAACGGCATCACTGAGCGTACACATATGGACCAGAGAATTTCAAGATATAGTAGCTCTTGAAATATAAGTAGAGAATAAATTATGATATTAAATAAATCTGAATAAATGACTACACTCGAAAGACCCAGCGACGGCGATTACGATGACGTCTTTTTAGTGGTTTTCTTCGTCTTCTTCCGCTCCTCACCGCACACGTACTCGACCAATTGCGGTATCTGACCGTTTTTGTGGTAGTTCTGGATATGCTGCTCACCTTGAAAAACAATTTCTTTTGAAAAAAGTGGGTCAATATTAGAATTTTGGAAGTGAATTGTAGGCAGTAAACAAACATTGTAAGGGAACAAACAAGTCTTGGAAAAATTTCCACAATCTGTGGCAGGGTGAAAATCGCTTGAGGAAACGACAACGGCTCGTCGAGGATTCTTTCACGCTCTCCCACGCGGATGCTCACTCTCGCCACCCGCGAGCCGTCTGTGCTCTCCGCGCATGCATTCACTCTCGACACTACTCTCGCACAGTAGAGAGCCATGGTCGAGGAATTCCTCGACCGTTATTCACCCTGGTCTGTGGTAGTGCAGGAAGCAAGAAATTCTTGCACGGCAAGTACCTTACTGCTCAAAGCTTCTCAAAGATACCCAAAACTTACCATAATAACTTACCATAATTTTCACTGGTTTGTCATAGAGTCGCCCAGTGTGGGCGGAGTTATCCGCAACCACTATGGTCAACCGGCCACTGAGAAATGCCCCCGCCGGCGCTCAGGGCTCCTCCTATGGCTGATCACAGTAGGATCGTTGCGAGCACTTCAATCACAACCCGGACACTCATCTATCAGTGGAGAGCATTTCGGGTTCTTTTTAGCTACACTACTAGTTATAAACTTGATTCTCAACTGAGTGATATCTTGTTTTTGAATCAATAACCCATCTTATAATAAATTTCTTACACCAGATCAAAAAATTCTTTGAAATAGTAAATCGATAAGCAATCAATAAATACAAAGAGGCGTAATTATGAAACCGTCAGGGTGGATTGCAGAATCAACTGCAACTAATCAGAGAGTTTTTCGAAGACTTTTCTCTCAACTACTCCTAAAGATTTTTTTCTCAGTTGTGGCGCTAGGGGATTCATTTTGCCTGAACAATTCCAGGAATTATCCTTTGAATTTCAACTATTCTTGAAATGTACATGAAAAAGTTAAGCAGGAAAAGAAAACAAGGAAAAAACACATGAACGCACTTCCAATGAAGGTCCCGCAAATAAACAGATACGGTAGGGTCTTGTGTGCTGTCAGTTGATGCAGATATTTCTGAGCCAATTGCGGTCGTCCTGCCTGAAAATGGAAAAATTTAACTTCTGGTATGGTTCGCTCTTTGCCTGTCCATTGCTGTTATTTTTTAAGCAATATTATTAGAAAAATGATAAGAATTCAAAAAAGGTAGAAAATGAAGCCAAACGGGTGCTTCGGGGATATTTTTCACCAATTTCAAATTCCAAAAAAATAATTAAGCCCAGTCACATAATAACTATATAATAGTCAAACAAGATAACTCTGTTAGGTTGTAGGACAAACTTTGGGGAATTTGTATATTTTCTAAAGTTCCCTGAAACATTACAAAAACTTCCGATGCGTAGGAGCTTATAAATGGGAAATATAAGGAAAAGACAAATATAAAGTGTTTGAACTTGTTTTGCTTAGGAAGATATGAAATGGAAGGAATAATTTAAAATATTGCAACAATTCTCGTTCAACCAACCAGTAGCTGACAGCAACTAAGAAAAATTTTAAAACGCTAAAGTTCCGAAAAGCGATATTTTCCTTGTTTCACTGCATCTATTTAGCTCGCTTCAGGAAAGTTAGGCAGTGAAACACGCAGCTTTTGTACGGTTACAATAATCGAATATCATGGTCTTCAAGACAAACAAGAGTACTTATGTATGTGGTTGAAGAGATGCTGAGAGAGAGATGTGACATTAGGTTCGACTTATGCTGCGCGTTTGCGTGTCTCAAAACATGCATAATCTCTCAGAACGCGAGCGATATGGTGATTCAGAGAAATGGCATTCATCAAAGGATTGGTCTGTACACTTACCCTCAAAACCATATCTGAGTAAGGTCTCTACTGATTGATCTTATCGCAAGACATATCTTACGTAATATACTTTTGGCAAGTTTACAAGTACTACGGTGCCAAATTCTGGCTTTGCGGTATGTAGGGGTTCCTTTTTCCTGAGTTCTTTTCACTTGGGCGTTTTATCTCGACAAAACTAAAGACCACCATCAGAAGTTGGGGAGGGCGAGTGTCCCGAAGTGGCATGAGGGATGCTCTCTTCAGTAAAAATAACAGAAATCACATGAACCAATAGTTCTTCATATGAAATTAATGCATAACATTGATAATATTCGAGATAAGCTTTGATTTTAATTATAAGAGCTACTTATATTTGATCGGTTCCAATTTCCTAATTTTGATTGTTCTCCTTTACGCCTTGACGTGGTCTTCGTCCTCGCTTCCTATTTTACTTACAGTTTCCAAGCGAATTGAAATGGAGCAGTAGGAAATTCTTACTTTATCGACATAGAAAGCCACCAGAGGAAGGCCATAGGTGTCACGAAGTAACGTCTCCAACTCGGCGCTGCTTTCGGAACGTGAATCCAGATAAAGAACAGCGGGTAGACGTCGAATCTGAAAGGCAGATTTCAATAAGAGAACAAAATCGGTGGTTGGCACTGACGTCCCTAGGATGAGCCGTGCATGCCGTTGAGATTCAAAAACGCAGAAGAGTTTGAATGCCTGTTCTATCTATGGATGTACTGCGGTGGTCAGCTGGAATCGGCGCCCACTTTCCTGATTTCACTCCCGCTTGGGTCGTGACTCCCTCGTGTTTTTTCCAAGGGCTTGCTTGAGCAATTCCTTGAACGCTGCCGTTCAAGCGAAATACGCTTTGATCAGCGCCGTGAATGCAGGAGGATCT